TCTCCACCTTCGCGAGGTAGTCCACTAGGATCGGGTACAGGGAGTTGGCGGTCGGCACCCTCGAGTTCAGCACGAACGAAAGGACCCCCTTGGCTTCCTCTCCCGTGGCCCTCGCCTTGCGGCACTTGCAGTGGAGGACCTGCCCCGCGATCTCCTGGGGCTTCTTGGCGGCGATGACCTGCTGCCAGTACTCGAGGAAGATATTGTGCCCGTCTGCGTTCGGAGTCCCCCCCCCCCCGGCGCCGTGACTTCCATGCTGCGCTTGATGATGGCCCCCAAGAGGTGGACGTGAGGCGGCCCGCGGGCCTTGAAGTCGACCGGCTCCCCGCCCGCGACCTTCTCGCGGAGCCTCTTGCTCTCGCCGTCGTAGTCGATGCCGCTCTTGCGGCACGCCTGCCCGAGGCTGCCCTCGGTCTCGCTGATGAACATCGTGGTGTAGCACACGCTCTCGAGCTGCGCCGCCTGTCGGGCCGTGGCGAGGGCCAGCTTCGCGATGATGACCAGCAGCGGGTCGGCCTTCTCCATGCGGTTGCCTGCCTTCCCCCGCTTCGGGCGCGGCGCCGATGCAGGGGGCGAGGCCGCCCTCGCCATCCAAGAGGGCATCGCCACGTCCGAGGTCATGACGGAGACGCTGCCGCGCGAGGAAACACGCCCCCGAAGAAACCGACCAGGGAAGGTGAGCCCGAAGATGGCTACAGAGGTCGTCGTAGTCGGCCGACTCGTACGAGCAAATGCGGCACCCAAGATCCTTCGGTTCAACTCTGGTCGCAATCGCACTCGGCCCTCTCGTTCCGCAATGCCCCCGTAAATATCGAACCCTCAAGGTGTCGATAGGCCGTTTGTCTGCTCCAGAAAATCTTCCTACACGCAATGCATTCGTTGGACGGGCAAAGCAGAGCAGCTAAATTATAAACGCCGTGCTTGTGCCTCAAGCGCTCAGTGAGTCCCCGCTTCGCGCAGAAAGAATGCATTCGTTGGGCGGGCAAAGCAGAGCAGCTAAATTATAAACGCCGTGCTTGTGCCTCAAGCGCTCAGTGAGTCCCCGCTTCGTGCAGAAAGAATCGCCACATTGCGCCCCCTCCCCTTTCGTCCAGGAACACACGTACGGGGCAACAAAGTCGGGGGGGGAGTCGAGCCCGCCAAGGGCCCCAGGGTCAGAGACACCGCAAAGTGGGCCAGGGGTCAGAGACACCGCAAAGTGGGCCAGGGGGCGCAATCGTGGCCGTGAAATGGCGACTACGCAGACGTCTGAAATCCAGGCGAACGAACTCCTCAGATTATTCTTTATGCCCGATAAGGAGCCAGGGACGGTCCGCGACACGCAAAAGCACATCCCTGTCATCGGGCATGACATCGATCGCGGCTCGAACGTCGTCCTGGATGCGTTCGGCCCAGGGACTCGCAAACTGACTAAGGCCATCCTCTGTACACGGCCGCTTTTCCGCAGGTTCAAAAGCAAGGGCCCCAAAGAGCATGCTAAACATGCGCGTGCACCCGAGTCCGAGAGGCCCAAGATTGATACCAGCCTAGCCTACGGATTCGGAGCTCCATTTCGCACTGCACGAATTCCCAGGAAGCCAAGATCTCGAGAGAACACATGCGGGCAGTGACCTCCCCCTGTTCGTTGCGTTCGCATGCGGCACCGTGCATGGCAATCTTACAGAGGGAGGCGAGACAGTGGTCCAGGAGCGAGTGTTGACGGGGGCTGAGTAAAAAAAACACTTCAAGTGCCGACAGGAGGGCGTTTTGCACTAAACCGATCAGTACCGTGCGCCGCCAGCGTCGCGGCGTGCTGGCATACCAAAATCCTGCCATGGCATAGAAGGCGGCACGGGCAGCCGCCATCCTACGCTCCACCTCGATGGCCGCTGAGGCGTCCTGCGTGACGATCGGCCCCAGGTACCTTGTCGCCTCCCCAACTCGTCCGTCGACTCGGCCCCGTGCGATGGCATGCTAGGGCCACCGCTTGCACTGCTGCGAGCCCGTCCCCTGGACCATGAAGCACGCCACCTGCTTGTCGCGATTCTGCGCCAACCCATACTGCGTGAGGCACTCGTCCAGGATGCCATCGCTGCTCTTCATCCTCCTGAGGGCCTCGCCCATGTCGCAGCCGACCTCCAAGGGCATGACGCGGCACAGGTCATCGGCGTACTTGGACAGCGAGACGTCAATGGTGAAGTCCTCGAAGCCCCCGTGCAGCGGTCCCGTGATCCCCCCCCATCGACAGTCGCTGGGGCCACTTGCCAACGGGGGCGACAAAGGCCGCCGCGAACGCCTGCACCACGAACGGGCCCCCCATGAGGCCGCCCTCGCCCGTCTTCAAGAAGAGGACCCCGTCGCTCGCGTCCACCTCCACGACAGACAGGCGGCACCTGCCACGGCAGAGCGTCTGATACTGCGGCCCCACCAAGCCCTCGTCTAGGATGACTTCATCGAACCTGTCCCAGGACACGCTGCCGAAGGCGTTCGCCATGTCCTTGAGTGTCGCCACCCACGACCAGCCCGACTGCCTCAGGCGCCACGCCAACACCTGAGTCGCCAGCAGAGGTCCCTCCCTACGTCGGCGGGGGGGCGAATCCGTGATCCTGTGGGGCCAGCTGCGCTTTGAGCTTGTACGCGAAGTAGCCCTTCCCCACAGCGGGGAGAGAGTGAATAACTCTCCTTCCCTTCATACCAGGCTTGTCGTTCTTGGCGAGTCCGATGCCCATGCTGCGGTGCCAGTACAGGGGGGTCTTCTCCGCGCGCCTGACCAGCGTCAGGGCGCGCAGGAGGGTCTCGTCGAACAGCTGCATCCCCTGCACCGCCCCCTCGAAGCCCACGCCGTGGGGTAGCTGGTCCATGGCCCTGTCGGGCCAGAGGCAGAGGTCCCAGAGCTCGAGCGCCGCCGTGCCAGTTGGAACTGCGCGCCTCTTCTTGGCGCGCCGAACGTAGCGCCTCAACTCCTTGAAGTCATCCTGTGCGTAACCAATGTCCATGTGGTCGGCAGGTGGGGCGGGGGGGGGGGGGGGGAGTTCTGCTTGCGCGCCACTCACTCCAGTCGACTTCGCGTGCCCTCATACCCCTCTGGGCGCCAGCCCCCCCCCCCCCCCCCTCAAAAAAAAAAAAAAAAAAAAAAAAAAACTAGACCCAGTCCGACCGAGGGCCAAGGCGGCGCCCGTCTCGTCGCTTCGCGCCCAGTCGACAGTGTCCGAGTAGTCGTGAGAGAGACGCATCGCCTCGGCTGTGTCCTCTTCTCCCAGGCCTCCCGTACTTCCTCTTGGAGCTGGTTCCTCCCTGCGGCCCTGCGGGCACGGTGCTCCAACTTCAGCTCAGCCGAGAGCGTCTTGAGCTCAGTCTCCAGCTCCCGAAGTTGGTCCTCATCTGCATCCAGTCGTTCTCGTCGAAGTCGGGAGCGTTCCTGGAGGAGTTCGCGTCGTCTAGCACCCCGTTGGTTGCGCGCCTCTCCCCCAGGTGGCCCCCCGAAGTGCGCGGCGCCCGCCGCCGTGAGGATGCTCTCCAGCTCCTCCCGAACAGCGTCGGGCGTACCCTCCATCATGCATGCGTCGATCTATCCACTTTCTTCCTGAATCCGCCTCAGCACATCCTCCAATAACTCCTTCTTCCCCTTCCCGTGGCGGACCGCCTGCATCAGCCTCGTGCAGTCAAGGCGCGGCGGGGGCATGGGCGGCAAGGCCCAGGCATCCTTCTCGTACGCAAGCTCGAGCAAGAGGGGAAGGTGGTCCCTCGGCGGCGCTCTTGGTAGCACTTGCCACTGCGCTCTCAGGCCGTGCAGAACGTGGCAGCGCAGCACGCGGGGGAGCCAGTCCTGCGGGATGAAGAAGTGATCGATGACCGAGCCCGAGGATGGTGTCCTGGTCGTATAGAAGGTGTACTCAACTTTGTCTGCGAAGGTAGACGGGGCGGCCATGTGCTGGGTATCCAACAGGCCCTTCACCACCTCACCCGCGCCTCCTCGTCGTTGCTCTCGACTGTGAAGATGTCCAAGGGCCAGGGGCGGCTGTGTGGTCCATCCACCCACCTGCTTCTGGATCCCCAAACCGTCGTTCACGTCGGCGTAAAAAATTGGCAGCGTCCGCATAGGCGCCTCCTGGAGTATCTGTTGCCACCAGTCTCGCAGCAGCTTCGCCGTGTGTAGGTAGCGGCTGACCTGAATGCGCTCCCTCGGCTGCGGCGGGAAGTGGATCATTCCGACCAAGATGTCAAGGCAACCCTTGCGAATCCGAGCCGCTAGGGCCTTTCCTCCCGCTCTTGGTGGCGATCCCCATGTACGGACAACGTGGGAGTCGCGGAACCGTTCCCCCAGGGCGATGGCGCAGCCCGCGCTGTGGTTCGTGTACGCCCCCTCGATGCACGGCGCCTCCAGCACAAGTCGACCTTCGCACCGACGGCGGAGGACTCCCTCTCCTCCAGAGTGGCAGTGCACCTTGGTGCCCGCGAGGAGGAGGGCGTCCGCGGCACGGCAGCCGATCAGCAGCTCCGAGAGCCTGGCCCCCACAGCGTGGAGCGGGTTGAACGCCAGGAGGCGGAGAGTCGATCTCAGCGCTGGCGCCATGGCGGCTCGCGCAGGTCCTGTGGGAGGACGACCTGCATCAACTCTGCCTCGGTGCGAAGCGCCCCCAGTCCCTCCAAACAGGCCAGAACCAGAGGGGCTAGAGGAGGAGGAGGAGGAGGAGGAGGAGGAGGAGGAGGAGGAGCAGGAGGAGGGCTTCTTTCTAAAGTCTGGCACGCGGAGCACCCCTGTGGCAAGCGCAGGGGCCTGCCGGTGGCCTCGGCCCTGCCCGCCGCCGTGCCCAGGTGGCCACCGGGATGCCATCTGGGGGCCTCTTTCGGGGGCCTCCTTGGAGCCTCCTTGGGGGCCTCTTCCTCCTCCTCTTCCTCCTCCTCCTTTTCCTCCTGCTCCTCCTCCTCCTCCTCCTCCTCCTCAGCCGTTCCTCTCGTAGGCAAGCCGCCCGCCTTGGCCCCCCTGCGAGTTTCTTCCATCAAACGTGGGAGCGGCACTGATGGAAGGGGCCACCCAATGGATTGGGACGACCGCGCGAATGGCTGGGCACCAGTGGTGCCAGAAGTGCTGGTGTTCGGCCCCGGCGTCCGGTGCGAGGTTGCAGGCTGTCGATGCGCGCCGCGCCTGCTGGCGGCTGACGGTGACGAGGCTGAAGCAACACATGATGGACCCGTCCGAGAAGGACGATACCAGTGGCCATCATGGGGAAGAAAGCGGTCAAGAAGGTCGGGTCGGGGACGGTCTGAGCTGTGGGTGTCGTTTCTCCCCCCCCTTCTCTCCCCCCCCTTTTCCTCCTCCGCCCCCGTCTCTCCCCTGGACCTCTGGCCTTCGAAGCGGCGAAGGGCATGCCATCAGAAGCCAAGAAAGAGCCTCAGGAACCGAAAAGAAAGTAAAGAGCACGGCGAAGGGCCATGCCATCCGAAGCAACAGAGCCTCAGGGACCGAATCGTAGGAGGTGCTGTGCGCTGCCATCAGGTGCAGCTTCAGGCTCCTTCGTATGCGAGCGTGCTAGCCAACGTGCTGCTTCGCGCTCCACATGAATTCCCCATGTGAGTTTAAACTTACAGCGAGTGAGCCGTCGACCGCTGTGTTTTCCATCAGAGGCCAGACTTAGTCAGCAATGTCCCCAGCAATGTCCTCCTCCTCCTCCTCCTCCTCCTCCTCCTCCTCCTCCTCCTCCTCCTCCTCCTCCTCCTCCTCCTCCCCTCCCCCTCCCCCCCTGGGCGCCTTCTGGGGGCCTCCTCGGGGGCCCGATGGTTGTCTCGCGGGCCCTCGTGGAGTGAAGAGCGCCCCAGGCGGGAGTCGGAGGTCCCCACTCCTGGGGGCCTCTGGAGCCCGCCCCTCCGGGGCTGGTCGTTGGGGGCCTCCTGGGCTGCCTCGTGCTGGACGCTTCGAGCACCGAAAAAGCGAACTTGCCAAAATCAAGTAAAGAGATTGCCTCTATGAGCCTGTGAACATGTCTTGTGTTGAGGTCTGGGCGACAACGGCCATGGTCGACCCTCCCCCTCCCCCCCCGGATCACGCCACGCTAGTTTGCCTGCCCACGTTTGCAAAGATTGGTTGCGGATTCTTCAAGGATGCCTTAAGGTGCTGGTGCCTCCCCAGGGGACGAACTCCCCACCCTCGCCGATTACGCCCGTTATCTCGTTATCGCGAATAATAAGAAGCGAGCTCTACACGAAGTATACGACCACACTTTGGGTGAGAATGGGGTTGGCTGGGGCAAAAGAGCCAACTGACGACAACTGCGATGGCGGTGATGGTGGCGATGCTGGTAAGCCGAAAAGGCGAAATGACCAGCATCATGGAATCATCATGACATACTGGTCTGGGCTCGAAGGTTTCCACGACGGCCCAAGTGGCCCCGAGTGGGCTAATCCCTGGGCGCGTGGAAGGCGTGGATTCCTAACCGCGCCCCCGAGGCCCCTAGAAAGCAGGGCTGAACCTAAACGGTGTTTTTCGTTGTCGTTTTGTTTCCGTTTTCCCTCGTTTTGGCTTCAATCCACCTCTACCGCAAAGCGAAGTCGAAACGAAAACGGCCCACGAGATCGCCGAAACACCGCTTAGGTCCAGCCCTGCTTGAAAGTCACGCGGCGATCCCCAAGAGCGCTCGCTCCTTCTGGAAATCGTGGCTCTCGGGCCACACAACATATTGACATTATTCGAGCAGGGAGCTCGAGGGGACCAGGTGCCTCGCAGCACGATGGTGGATTGTGTGTAGTCGGGAGGGGAAGAAACACACAGACACAATTTATCGTCGACTCTCCAGGGAAACATGGGAAAATATGGGAAGTGGGGGGCAGACCAAAACCCAGAACATATGGGAACATATGGGGAATCCTGTCGCTTGTGTCTATTTATTTGTATGTCCCTGGGCCCCTTCATGTATCACTTTCGCGTGGGAGATTTTCGCGCGCAATTCTATCGTCTGGGGCCCTTGTGTGGATCCCCGTTGATTTCGTAGGAAAATATACGAAAGCCGTCTCGAGGGCTTCCGGGTGTCGTCTTGGGTCGTGCTAGGGCGTCTCGCGGACCAGTGGGTGCCGTCTTCGCGATCTTTTTTAAGTTGCATTTGACGGTTTGGATCTATTGATGGTATTTTTGGGAGGTTCCGTGGTATCTGAAATGATGTTGCGTGTTCGTGGAGCCATGTTGGGCCATATTGCGCGGTCGTGGAGGCCATCTTGGATTCTATTGGCCATCTTGGGTTACCTACTGCCATGACTACCCAGGGGAAGAGCAGGGGTCAAGTTACCAACGCGAACGCCACCAGCTGTCTCGCATTATGAATGACCTCCCCCGGAGGACGCGCCCGTAGCGCCGCAAGAGGCGGACTTGCTGCGTCCGTACCAGTCCGCTTCTCTACCAGCAGCAACGGACGCGATTGACCAGAGTACACTTTCGCTCCGACACTTTGCCACAGCCCCCGCGGACACTCCGTCACCGTCTCCGCAAGCTCCGCGACCACCTGCGGATACGCCGCTCGGATCTTTTGACTCTGCGCTGGACCCCCCTCCCTGGCGCGCGGAACGCGCCAGGGGCGGCACCAGAGGCGCCGCTACGGGAAGCCCGGCGCCGATCCAAGAACTCCGCTCCCGTCCCCACGACGACGACGACGACGTTGCCAACGCCTCCGCGGACATCTCCACGTCGGAGGGCCCAGCCAGGCGAGCCAGGGAAGGTTTGCGCTGGTCACCGGTGTGTGGGCGGGCTTGTCAGGCAGGGCCCCTTGTAGTCGATGGCGATCGTATCCTTTCACGAGATTTGACAGGGGGTCCTGCTGCAGCAGACGACGATGTCTTGTCACGGTCATCTCGTGGGTCAAGAGTCACTCAAGCAGTTGTGGACGATTCGGGCGAGAGGCCTGCCACCATCGACCCGCTGGAGGCAGCGCACGCATGCCGCGCGCGGCGCCTCATCATGCAGGAGCCGCCTCAAGACGCAGAGGAGGCGTCGTGGCAGGACGCAGATTTGGACGACGATCTTCTCAACGAGAAGATTATGCTGATGACCATCTCACGTAATCCCAAAGAGCTGGCAGATGCCTTACACAGAGGACGTGATCTGGAAGCACTGGTGAAGTTCAACGAATCAGAGGGTTACTCCTGTAAGTATCAGGGCGTCCACATATTCGTGCACCCCAAGCAGTTCGTGCACGTCCGTGTTCTGTTGCAGCGAATGGCGCCCCTGCCGAAGCCATATCATATAGTAGTTTCTGAAACGTACGAGCCGCTTGTAAGGAACGCGTTGAAGAGGCTGAGGTCTCGTCTTGATGTGCGCCCGAAGACATCTGAGCCGCTGATGGTGGTTAGGAAACCGTCGGGCCCGCTTCCCTACAGTGTGATGCTTGATATTGACGGTGACGGCGAGGATCTCGTTCTCGTACACAACACCTTCTTGTCGATTCCAGGGAAGCATAGTAGGAAGCAGAGATTATCATCCTGCATTAATTCATCTCCAAGCGCGAGCATAAACCCTCGTGCTGTGGCTGTCCCGGGGAGCTCGTGCAGCTCGTAGGCATTTTTAGGTACCAGTCGGTGGCTCGCTTGGCTTTTTGGTTCTTCATGCCAGTTTGAGTAGGTCGGTGCCGGTGTTGTCGTGAGCCGTCGGCCCATGACGCATTTCGTGTACTTGCCTTGGCTCCAACGAGTACCATGCGGCAAATGGTCAGAGCGCCGTAACGACGAGTGCCCTGATTGGGTGTTGTTGTGGGCATTGTGTTGATAGGTCGACCAAGGTATGTTTGAATATTCATTTCGTGAGGTATCGTGGGCCCCTTCGGCGGCGTGCTCGGAGCATCTATTGGCCAACTGGTGTCGCCTCTTTGGGCCTTGCTGGTGCCGTCTGTGGCAAAATTGGAGCATTCTTCGGCTGCCTTGGCTTCGCCTTTTGCCCAACCTATGCCCTCATGGAAACGCCTAGGAGACATGATATATGAGCTTGCTGTTTGGACAGTGTGAAGTTTCTTAAGGGGTATCTGTTTTGGGCCCTCTTCAGCCTGTTAGTTCTCAGCGTATCTTCGGTTACTCCAGCGGCCTTGTAGTAGGCCGTGTTGGCAGATGATTGGGACCCTCTTTGAAGCTTCTTTGGTGCTTCCTGGCTTTTGTGGCCGCTTCGGGCACTCGTCGGCCGTGCTGTGCAACCTTGGAAGCTTTCTTGAAGCCATTCGGGGCCGTGTTGGCAACGGGGCATGCAGTCTTCTGGCAACAGCCAGAGGGCTTATAGGGCGGTTTCGCGTAGGATGTAGCAACCGGTACTGTTTAATGGTATGGTGCAGGGACACGCCCAAGCCACTTGCGTGAACCACAGGGGGCGAAGTTTCGAAGCCGCCTCAGGGGAGTCACGGCGGTCCCTTGTTTTCTTTGGTAAAGTTGATGCGCCCATACACTAGGCCAACTAATGTCCAGGTTGTTGGATTGCGTATCCCCTCAGGCGATGCGAAAACAATAGGGGAACACTTGAGCCAAATTGTGTTATATTGTTGGGCTTCTGGTGCCTTCTGGTCAGGTCCTGGTTTGCATCGAGGCCTTTCTGAGGGTCGTTGTCGTTGGGGTTGTCTCGGTAGACTTGTAGGCAGTCGTGGGGCTGCTGGAAGGCATTTTGGTTCATCTAGGTGGCCTCTCAGACTGTATTGCTCTCTTAAGCCTTCTTGGGCCTCTTTGAGGCCTCGTGGGCCATCCTGGCTTGCCTCTTGGGCCACCTTGGAGCCTTACTGGCGCTGATTTGGCCCATCATGAGTCCCCCTCGGGCCGCCTTTGCGCAGCAAAGCGGCAAGGTTGCGCGAAACAGAATGGCATGCTCGGCACGCTTTACTCTCCTGTGAGAAACAGAAGGAGGCAGATTGAGGACGCCTCTGGCGAGTCACGACCACCACTTGCCTTTTTCGCAACGCCAGGGTGGCTAACTAACTCTGCGTGACCCGATGCGTTGTTGAGGAAGTAAGGGGCATTGTATGCTTGCGTGGTGCCATTTGTGGTCCTCTTAGTCTCTAGTAGACTTGTAGTACCGTGCAAAACGTTTTTGGGGGTTCTGGGGCTGCCTTGGCGGCCTCAAGATCCATGATCGGGGAGTGCGGGGCCACGTGGGGCCATCACAGGTGTATTTGGGGCCCCTCTCGTTGTCTGTTGGAGGCTTCTTGGACTCTTGGAGTCTCGTGAGACCTGTTGATGTGCTTGATAGTTGGTGGAGCATGTTGAGGGCTTCATGGGCTCCCCTGAAGGCTCTCTTGGGCCATCTCGAGGCAACGCTCAGCCGTATTATTTTGATTTGATTATTGAACCGCAGTAGTTCAAATAACATGGATCCCTTCTTCGTTGTCCCAGATGTCTGCCTGTCGGGGCCGTCCTTAAGAGGCTCCGTGGTCACCCGTCATGGTGGTATCGCAGGCCATGCCACGTCATATTGCACCTCGTGGCTTCAATGTGGTTCGCAATAGTGGGCGGGTCGGCGGCAGTAGCTTGAAGGCTTGTAGACATTCTGGGCCCACGAGAAATATGTTGACGGTTTCAGCGCGCCCAAGCCTGCTGCGGTTAATCATTGGGGACGGCAAAGCTAACGGCCAACGCTACCACCCCCCCTTGCCAAATGCACAGAGCTGACAATTAGTGGGCACATAGGTCTGGCTTGGGTAGTCCCTATTTGCCACGGTTCAGTTGCATAGACGAGCCATGATGTGCAAGTGGTCTAATGACACGTTTTTGTCAGTTTGGATATGGAAGCTTTTTTGCCATTTCGCGATATAATAGTCCAGTGTATTTTGCAACGGATCGCTCGATCGTGGTATTTGGCCTTGGGAGCCAGCCGGGAGAGATTCCACCGTGGCCTTGAAGATTCTTGGATCGTGGCCATAGTACCAGGGTGCCACTATGCCATCGTGGGTTGCAGCCGATGGGCGCATACCTAGTGCAATGAGCGTGGTGTTTTACCCTCCTGGCCATAACGCGCGTTATGCCCTTTCCCCCCCATACTGTAACGCTCCCCCTCCCCCTGCACTGTGCGCCCCCGGCACTGCCATGGTGGTGCTCTCAGGCTAGTTGCTTTCATCGTCGTCATCGTCCCCGCCCCCGTCCTCCTCCACGTTCCTGTCGTCCTCGTCCTCGCCCTAGCCCTCGAGGCGATCATCGTCCTCGTCGTCGTCGTCTTCGTTGCCGAAAGCCTCGAAGGGCCTCAAGACGCCTCCAGAGGTCTCCAGAGACCTTAGGACTCCCGAGACCTCCAGAGACCTTCAGAGGCGGCCGTCGTCTTCGTCCTCGTCGTCTTCGTCGTCGTCGTCGTCGTCGTCGGGTGTCTCGAAGGGCCTGCAGACGTCCCCAGAGGCGGCCGTCGTCCTCGTTCTCGTCCTCGTCGTCGTCCTTGTCCTCGTCCTCCTCCTCGTCCTTGTCCTCGTCCTCGTCATCATCGTCCTCGTCTTCGTCCCCGTCCTCGTCTCGTCCCTGTTTTCGTCCTCGTCCTCGTCGTCGTCGCAGAGGGCCTCGAAGGGCCTCCAGGCGCCTCCAGAGGTCTCTGGAAACCTCCTTTGGCCTCTGGAGACCTCCAAAGACCTTCAGAGGCGTCCGTCGTCGTCGTCTTCGACCTCGTCGTCGCCGTCGTCGTCGGCGTCGTCGACGTCGTCCTTGTGCTCGTCGTCGTCGTGTTCGTCCTCGTCATCATCGTCCTCGTCCTCGTCATCGTCCTCAACGTCGTCGTCGTCGTGGTCGCCGTCGTCGTCCCCGTCCTCGTCCTCGTCCTCGTCGTCGTCGTCGTCTGGTGCTCGGGCGCCCTCGTCGTCCAGCAAACACCAGCACATAATAATGCTCGAAGGAGGGTGCAGGGGACAAAACACTGGGGCTGCACGTACGCACTGCGCAGTACATAGGCGATGTGGTGCTCGCGTTTGCGGCGGTGCATACTGTGCTGCGCACTGGTGCTTGCTGTGATGCGTACAGGTGCAGTGGTGCCGGAACCACACGGCATGGGGGGGGGCGTTGCGTTATGCTCCCCTTGGCTCCCCCCCATGACGTCCGTTACGGCCTCGAATGTAAACATGCGCTCAATGTACGATGGATCGTGTCCCTTGAGATCAGGACTTATTGCATTGTCTGATAGGCTGGGGGTCTTGCAACGAAGTCATGTAGCATTGACCTGATGATTCGGGACCGTCCTGGAGAGCATCTGTCTTTTGACAGGAGGTGCCGGCGGCGGCATTGAACGTTTGCACGGGGTCCCAGATGGCAGATTGTGTTCATGCTGTTGGCCAACCAGTATTTAGCATCCACCAGCCAGAACCCACAGCTTGCGGGGATGACGACCGCAACGATCCAAATGCCGCACGCCCAGGCTCGCCCGTTACGAAGTGCGAATCGGGGACCCTAGCGAGGGGAAGGCACGGGAGCCTATAGACAGGAGGAGGCGGAGGAGTGGAGCGTGGGGGACCAGACCACTCGAAAAGCACAATTGCATTTGAACGTGCACGGGATTACCAGTTGGCGCGCGCCGCTATGTCAGAAAAGCGAACAGCGAATTCGAGGACCAGCGCGTCCCCCGAGAGGTAGCGTCTCCTTGCCAGATTTCTCGCGCACGGTGTGCGCTTGCATGTTTGATTGTTGCATGGCGTGGCCGACTAGAGTCTCGGCGTGTCCGTGAGCCGTCGGCCCACGCGACACACCGATGAGGTCATTGCTGCAACGATTTGTTTTAGATATGTGTAGGTGTTCGCTCATCGGGTGGTTGTTGCGCTCTCTTTTTCTCTCTTTGATCCTTCCTCTCTCTCCCTCTCTCAGTAGCTGAGGTACGGAAAGGCCGCAGCCATACATCTCCGCCCTTGTCTCCTTCCTGTCTGCCCAAAAAGTACCACATGTGTTGCTTGAGGTGTGTTGGTTGATGGTACAGTTATCCCCTCATGGTTCTACCGCTTGTTGTGCCGGTCCCATGGAGCTCTCAAGACAGTAAGTTGTTATACGGATCATGATATGGCGACGCGTTTGTGTTTGAAGACCTCGGCTCCGAGTTGCCTGGCAAGTCTGACCCGACCCAGCAATCTCTTGAGATATTTGGCAACTCAGTGAACTTTGCTGAGTAATCGAACAGATAGCACATTTGCAGTGGCGGGTGATCCGCTTTCACTGCCCGAACGCGCTAACAAAACGACAGAGTTCCAACGCGCCATGTGTCGATTGAGCGACGGGTATGATCTGATGACGTGCGCGCGTGTGACCTAGCTGTGGCCAGCGATGACGCTCGATAGCCGAATCACTTCTCTTCAAATGCAGGCGCGCCTCGCGACATTGCCAAATCATCCACGTGCACTGCCATTCAGTCCCTCTGGCGTTTCTGCGTGTTTCCGCGCTTCAGGACGTGGGCGTGTACGGGTAAACAGTCCAGCCTGAATGGGATTTCAGTCTTGATATCTCTGCACATGTCACCGCAGCGATGGCGATCCTGCCCAAGATCGAACCTTCCAATGCGTGTGTGTCCGGTGGGGCGAAAGGGGACTAGGGAAGGATGGGTGGTACAACATCTGCTGCATGCAGCTAGTTTTTGTCCCGCCGCTGGGCGATTTGCTCGATACTGTGGCGCCTCAACGTGAGCTACGCGAGCTGATTCGCTACACCCCTCTGTCGTCCGAGCCGAAGTTCTGACGTGTCGCGTATCCCCGCCAGCCCATGCAGAAACGATGCCCAGGCAAGTTGCATTGATCAGGGAAGTGCAGGAGCAGCCGGCAAACCGGCGCTCAGGATCAGCCCCGAGTCCCAGGAGTCAACAATAAATGTCTTCGCAGCGTGTTCGAGGTGGGTATTCGTGGGCAGCTTACTTGGGCCATCATAGGGCCATGTGGGCGGGTTTGGGGGGGCCCTCTAGGGGCACTCTTGAGCTTGTCTTAGGGTTGCACTTCGGGCCCTCCTGGGGCCATCTTGCCGGACATCAGTCGAAGAATGAGAGGGTCCATTTAGGCCCGCCATTCTGGAACCCCAGAATCTTCGCTTGCGGCCGTCTTGGAGACCACTGGGGCCCCTCTCGGAGTTCACTAGGCCCTCAATCGGGCCCATCTTGCGGCTTCAAGGACCAATCTGAAACGTCAAGGCGAGAAGGCACGATGCAAATCTTGTCCGTATGTTGTAGCAAGGATCTCGACATCTTGAGATCGTCCCCGGGAGGCTCCGTGGCCATTTGTCGCCGTCTTGGAGCCGTTTTGGGGTTCTTGGCACATGGTGCAATTCATTTTGAGCGATCCTGAGATAGAAGGCCACCGTGGGGCTTGCCTGGGCCCTCTTGGTTCCATCTGGGGCGCTCTAACGCCTTGGACCCGCCCCGTCAAGACAGGGCGGGGTTCCGTAGCGATTTTGGCTCAAGACCACACATCGCATCAAGATATCTGCAGTATTGCACACATGCGTGATAAGGGGAACCCATGGTGCTCATGGCTATCTTTCAATCTCTACAATTTGCTGACGTCGCCCTGCCACTGCAGGCTCTTACGCTGGAGAATGCCGCAGATGAGGCACTGCTCAGGCGTGCTGGTCATGGCGCTGCAGTGGAAGAAGCCGACAGTCGCAGTGGCATGGTGTACCTCCAGTACATCATAGACCAACACGCCGCGTCAGAAACCGAGCTCCATGCACGTGCGGCCGAGACGTGGCGCAAGTATGCTAGCCAGTTGGCCAATAGTGGATGCAGCTATCAAGTTGGTTTGCTGCCTTGCCCCAATGGCAACACCTGTTATTACACAGGGTAGGGAAGTTTGAACGCGACGACTACAGTGGAGCGTCGTGGGAATATCATCAGGACAGTCCTAACCCCGAAAACCAGATGCTGCAGTCGACATGCCAGAAATAGTGACGTTCATGGGGGCTGACACCAACGATGCCCCTGCTACGTTGATGGACGTGCCAGCGGAACACCGAAGACCAGCGAACCCTATGATTATGAAGAAATTTTCGTGGTGGACACTGGTAATGTTACTGAGCAAGGCCCTCATGACAGTGAGCGCGTGGAGTCCGTGGGAAGCAGCGCCGCGTCTTACAAGGTTGAGAACAACAAGTTCGCAGTTTCAGCGCAAAGCCCAGACACGTTCGTGGGCATGGCCTTCGATTTCGTCTGCCAGGCACCTGTGGGTCACACCCTGGCCTTCGAGATCCCTTCCGGGACGGAGATCGTCTTCGAGGTGCTCCAATCGCAGGAGATGCCGGCTTCCCTCGAGAGGCGCTTAGAGGCGCCGTTGCTTCAAGTTTCTTTCGCCACACGGATGGATGGCGCGCTCCCGGAGAAAGGGAGCAGGCGGCGCAGGCGGGGCAGGGCGATGTGCAGAGGTGGACAGATTGGGTCCATGGCAGGAGGTGCCGCCGCCGTGGGCCTCGGCTTCTTGACCTGCGCGTTTTTGTTTTCTTAGCTTGCTTCCCGGCGTCGCCGCTCTTGCTGATGGCCGGGGGACACACGGTGAAAAGCGGTGCTTGCCAGTGCTGGGCTGTCGGGAATGCTGGGCGGACCGCCTGCGCGTTCCTGTGAGGGCGGCGAGGGTTGCGAGGGCGCGGCAGCGGTCTCCACTGGCAGTCGCCGGGCTGGCTGGCGACCGTAATCTTGTAGGGCAGTGGCGTCTTTGGCCCAAGATGTCCTTAGGCAACCTCCAGAAATGACTCACGCTCGTGGCACCAGCACACGTGTCACGTGTCCGCAGTGCGCCCCTGGGGCATCTTGCTGTCTACACTTGAGGCGGCGGCCTTCGCGCATCTTCTGCATCTTCTGGACCCGTGGGATCTGCACAGATCACCGCATCGTTCGTAGCCGCTTGATCTTCCAGATCGGCCTTGCACCAGTCTTGTCGGGACAGGCATGCAGACTGGCACGTGGATGCGAAGGCGCAGCCCGGATGCCGCCACAACACATGCTGTGGCAGGCACGGTCGAGTTCTTCTCCGCTCTAGTGCCGTCAGAGCCCCAGTCCGATCCGATCGTTTTTTCTCCTCCCTCCTTCCTCAAGCCCAATCCCCCCCGCGCTCATTCTGTCTCCTGTGCTGATGCGGCAAATTAAAAGAACGTAGATCCCGCCGTAACGCAAGCCGCCTTCTGTACAGCTCTGTCGCCCCACCTCGTGCAATACACGCGTTGCCATTTGAGTCAAAACAATGATGTTCGGGCGTCAGGAAGAGGAGCCGTCCAAGGGACAGTCGGAGCTCGGGGAGGCGCCAAGCCACTGCCCCATTTTGTCAGGCACCGTCAGAGGCGTCGCCCGCCTCTGGGCCTCCGTTGTCCGCGCGGTAGCGGCCCCCGTTTCACAGTCATTGGCGGCCTCAACTTCATCCTCCGTCGAGCAGTTGTCTTTGGTTGCCTTTGCTCCGTCTGAAGGCCGTCTGAGGCGCCGCAGAGCAAACATGAAACAAAACACATGGAATTATAACAGTGATTCATAACAAAAGACAGGGCGGGGTACAGCTGGACCGAGGTATAAGGTCGAGGTTTTAAGATCGAGGTCGGTTCGGGGAGGGTGCCCGAGTGTTCTTCGTGTATGTTGGGTGTTCTTGTGCATCCTGGGGAGGGTACCCTTGGATGTTCTGTTTTTTGGGGCCGACGGAGGGTCTCATGTTCATGAGGGATGTTGTTCTGGCCCAGGTCCGACTGTAGGGGTATGGGTCAAGCTACCCACATGCCGCAAGGCGTCTCGCTCACTCCCACCCGCCCAACGAGAAGTCGCGGCAGGGTCTCAGCATGAGCAGGGGCCGCCATCGAGGACCATCGGAAACCAACGCAGAGGCCAGCCAGGTGCGCGACGTGCGCCACGCGCGCCAGGGCATCCCCACCATTTTGTCCAACAAGCAATGCGGCATGATCGCGGGGCGCCCACGCCTGGTGCAAGCCTTCGCCGCACCGTGCGATCTGCGATGGCTTTGGCAGGGATTGTGGGTCTGCGCACGTGGGGCAGCATGATAACACCCCCCTCGCCCCTGCCAGCAGAAGCGGTACAAGGTCATTGCGGGGCGCCCGAGCAGGATTCAGATTTTGCTGCACGTATGTTCTCTGGCATGGATGGTGGGGCGGTGTCGGCATTGGCCCTCGTGAGTTAGGGACCCGTAGAGTCTGGGAAGGGGTATCTGCTAATAGGGAGCAGTGGTAAATTCATCCCCGAAGGGGAAACAGGGGGAGGTAGAACGAGGGAGCGCCCCAGGCCACCTCCGCCCGCCCCACAGGGCTGGTGGGATTGGGTGACCTCTGAGCTTCCAGGCGGATCGTGCCCGCCGACGCTGCGCGGGGTGCGGCGTGGAACGCAGAAGCAGCCGTCTCGCGGGAGTTCGGGGTGGCCCTGCGAGTTTGGTCTGTTTCGAGCGCTTGTCGGGGCACTCGGGCGCGCAATCCGATGTTTCTGTGTGTTGCCCCTCCGTGGAGCCTGACGCCGCCGGCGTTGCATTTGAAGTTCATGTTGTTCTACAGGAGGGAAGAAAACACACAGACACAATTAATCGTCGATTCCCAGGAAAATATGCGAAAATGTGGGAAGTGTGAGGGGGGGAACACGAAAATCCAGAAACTATGGGAAACTATGGGGAATCCTTTTATGTGTGTCTATTTATTTCTGTGTCCCAGGGCCCCTTCAATATTGCCTCCTCCGCGGCCGCCCTTCTACTCTTCCTGTTGCACTGTTGGTGGACAAGTTGCTAGTCCGCGGCCCACTCCAGCCCGAACGCGGTGTGACCCACATCGCTGGGACAACAGACACGCCAACAACAAATTGTTATGGAGATGGAGGAATGGGTAAGGATCGTGCGCCCTCATCCTTCACCAGCACTGTAGTCGGAAGTAGGCACTGCGTCGAGTTTGCACAACATCTAGAGTGCCCATGTATTCTATCAGACCTGTTCCGTAGCCATTTTGGCTCAAGTTCCCAGGCCACACAACCCGCACACCTTTCCGAATGGATCTTGACGTTGCTGTTGTGGGGGCGTCTCTCGGAGGGCTCTCTGCAGCCAACGTTCTGCACCGCCTTGGTGCAAGAGTTGTCGTGTTTGAGTGCTTCTGCCACGGCTTCCACAATCGTGGTGGCGCGCTCGGGGCCGTGGATGTCGATCTTGTGCGAAAAATCCGTGGCGATGTCACTGGGCACAGGCGCCCCATCAAGGGGCACGGCCACTTCTACGGAGACTTATGGCAGTACTTGTACGAGGGCCTGCCTGAAGGCGTGGTGCAGTTTGGTGTGGATGTGCAAGAGATTCTGGATTCGAGCAGCGACTCCCCACAGCTTCTCATTGGCGATGACACCCGACGTTTTGATTTGATCGTCGGCGCTGATGGGGGTAGATCCACGGTGCGCAAGTACGTTACGGACCAACTCCCCACGTATGCTGGCTACACCGTTTGGCGTGGACTGGTGCCAATGGCCGGTATCGACGGCCCTCCTTCAGGCTCTACCACCATCCGAGGAGTCCAGTACGCGACGCTTGGGTTCCCGTGCGCAGGTCCACCTGGCGCAGGTGACCTCTGGAACTGTGGCGTCTACATGCTCATGCCCGTGACGGAAATCGAAGCCCCCTCGCGAAATCGCCAGGTGAAGTCTGGGATGAAGTCGGTCCCGGATTGGTTCGTGCCGTTCATCCGCAGGTTCTTTGGGGACTGGAACGCGAAGTTCTGGCAGCAGTGCAGCGATCAGGGCAAGGTTTCACCTCACCCCGTTTGGGAATTTGCGGCAGACCGCGTTGTTGCAAATCGTATTGTCCTCCTTGGTGATGCTGCCCACATGGCAAGTCCGCGAACGGGTGCTGGTGCTTACACGGCCATGTGTGATTCTGTGGTGTTGGGAGAAGCCCTTCAAAAAGAAGAAACACTCGGCGGGGCACTGCGCCGGTACAACAGCAGTACGGTCAAGCGCGGCAAACAGCTGTATCAGCGCAGCCGTGCGGCAGCAATGTCTTTCGCACCTCCCGACTGTGTACCAGTGTCTCCATTGACGCTCCTGGAGGACGCTCTTGGACACAAACTTGAAGACCCCCCCAAAGTGGATTCTTCCAGGGAGGGGAAACAATCACCTGTAGGATTTCTAGCACGAGTTATTTCAGGCCCTCCTTGTTCCTCGAAGGACTGAGCGGCTACATACTACCTCTGTCAGCCGATGGGTCCACATAGAACGGTCCTGCCGTGTCATCCGGTGAGCCCCTCAGTTTTATCCTTCCGTTTCCGTCATTGTATGTTCCCTTCTTCCCTCCGCCTGATCCTTCAGGAGTTGGTCGTTTGATTTTGTTATTCGCACAATCCGTTCCGCACCCCCATTGTTTGGTCTTCCTGATTGTTCGACAGCGGAGATCTATATCAACGGGTGCTTCTGAAGAGGAATCTGCCAAGGCTTGAAATTCGCTCGAGTTGTGTTTCTTTTGCTGCTTCGTGCTGGGACAGTTGCAGCTCCGCGCGAAACAGGCATGTGCGTACGCGTACGGCAGCGCGAGTGTTGCTTGATATACTATGGGCACGTTTGCCTGCGGTTTCGGTCTTACTGTTACAGCTTGATTGTTCTGGTACGGTGGACTTGTGCTGTTCGCGGCCCTGGATAAACGATGGGCGACGCGAGTATGCGCGCAGTTGACCTCTCATTTGCCGGAAACATACAAGATTCAAGTGAACAAAAACATGTATCCTATCAGACTTGTCCGTCGCGCTCCATGCTACATTCATGCATGGAGTATGGGATGCCTTCGGGCGAGACGTGTGCCCATGTGGGCGTACTCCGCAGTCAGTCTCAACTGTATCGTTTTCGATTGCAGTTGGGCGTGCCATCCACAGGGACAGGGGGAGGTTTCCTTTGAGGAAGAGGGTTGAAGGAAGAAGAGTAGGAGAAGGAGGGCAGCTTGGGGCGGGAGGAGGAGGACAGGATCAAGGAAACCGGCAGGAGGAGCCAGGAGGAGGAGCCAGGAGGAGAAGGAGGTTCAGATATTCAGAATTATCGCGCGGCGAGTCGGAATAAGATCAGGACCTGGCCTCACTCTCAGCCTTGCTGAAAGCTTTGGGCGTGAGTCCGCGGCTGATTCGACCTAGGTACTCCTTCCCTGTTCTGGTCGGGGGTTTGCATTCCTGGGCGAGGCCTCTCCAACTGCAGACCAGCCATTTCTGGGGGAGCACGGGTCTGGAGGAGCTGGGGGCGCCATCCTAGATGATTTTCCTCCTTTATGTAATTTCAAGCAGTTGCACCTGAGACTTCGTACTGTTATGATGCTGTAGGGTAGCAGCGACGGCCTTGGAATCAGCCCTGAAGGTTGCGCGAAACCCCTCTCTGGACAGGGCCAGAAATCCCCCTCGACCCGGCACTGGGATGGCCACAAGCCAACGCCACAACTACGACAGCTATGCCAAACAAACATGAGCGTGAAACCCATAGCACCCCGATGTCAGGACACCGGCACAACATGCATCCTGCACCTTTGGTTGAGCCGGCCAAGCGCTTCCATGAGGACGACACGCAGGCATGGTGGCAATCGGGTGCGAAACAACGCAAGCGCTTGACATATGACAGCTTGACGCGCGACGATAAACGGCGCCGCATTGACAAACTAAGAAACATATCATACAGACCCGCGCCTCGCAACAACGATCGAAACAAACCAAACCCACCACGCAGCGCGCAGCAGGGAGACTGCGCCACTGCGTGTCCGAGGGGGCGCCACCCCGACAGCACTTGAACGTCATGCGATCTGATTTGAACCAGAATGCGGGGGCCCTCGAAAATCAAAGGGCAGGGATGGCCGCCAGCAACGGGCCGTCGGCGCGAAACCGTTTTGCAAAGATTCGGAACGAGCGCGCGCGGCGCTGCGAACCTTCCCCTTCCAACCCTGACCACCCGGGAGACGACGACAGTGAGCATGCAGAGCAGGGGTACGAGGAATGGACATCGACGTAGGTGTTGGGAGGAGGAGGAGGAGGAGGAGGAGGAGGAGGAGGAGGAGGAGGAGGAGGAGGAAGAGGAACGGGCATGCCAGACACGCCCTCGCGGGACCGCAGGGTGCGCTGGTCCTCCGCAGCGACGTCACGCGAGGATGGGGGAGCCAGGAAGTGGCGTTCGGCCGCCCAAAATTTCCCGTGCAACCCTTGCGCGCCGATCCTTTTCTCCGCCAAAGTGGCTTGTGCTTCCCCAAGGGGGCTTTCCAAAGTGGCAGTTTTTCCTCCACCAGCGGAACACTACCAGGTAAGCTTTCTTCGTCCGATAGAGGAACACTACTAGGTCTGCTTTTCCGTCCCCCAGAGGAACACTTCCGAGCATGCCAAAAAGGGAGCCGGACTGGTTCCGCTTTTGCGGCCTTGTCGCGAAGACTGGGGGCAGTATCGTTCAAGGGGTACACTACTACGTAAGACAACCGCGGCGGTGCCTGCAACAAGTTTGCACGGATACTCTGGAACCCGCGCCCGCCCCCGAAGTATTGCCCCCTCCCTGGCGGCGCCCTGTCCTGCGGGGGCCGCCCCGACGCCGCTGACCAGGCCGCAACCTATGCCAATGCCCGCCGTCCGGTGGCAACCGGCCAGGGCGCCCCCATACCCCGTGCCGTTCGACGGCGCACACGTCCCCAACTTCTGGCCGCTATACACGGAGATCCTTGGCCGACGGGAGACTCTGCCCGAAGGCGGAGAAACAGGCAGAACGATCGCCGCCCGCTTCGACACCAGCTACCGCGCCAAGATCCTACGCCCACAGCGCGTTCAACGCTTTCCCTGATCGCGCCAGCGCAGCCCATCGAGCGCGCCTCCACACAGCACAGAGGCACATATTCATCTGGCATTGCCTAGGCAGTGCGCCTTTCACCGATCGGGAATTCCCGCGCGCGCGATCTTCGCAAGCATAGAGTGCGCCGAGAAAGATTCCCGATGAATTGCCAACTTCTGTAACCAAGTTCCCGCGAAACGCGGTTCTTATTTCGCGGCTGCAGGCCCTGGCGGACCTAGCAGCAGCGCTCCGCATCCAAACGTTGCGAATCGGGGCGGCATTGCACGGACTGGAGCGCATGCTGAACCGAGCTTGCGAAGCCGATGGCAACTAAGTTCAGGCGATCGCCCGCGCCATTCGGAAACGCGAGCGAACTGCCGTCTGACACTGGCGCGTGCGCGCCGATAGCATGCAATCGCACCTGCGCTGTGGGGGGCATTCGTTTGGCGCGGCGTGCGCGACGCAGCTTAGCAGGCAATGTCTGTCAGTTTGTGCGAGCCGTGCCCAGCCAGAGATTACGCGCAAGGCAAAAAAAACACGCAAGGCAAAAAAAAAAAAAAACACCACAGGCAAAAAAAAAACGTTTTTGCCTGTGGAGCGTCGCCGACGCGGAGGGGAGCAGGGGAGCAGGGGAGCACCCCCCCCGCCTCGCGCGCGCTCTCCGGCAGGGTCCGGGGGCCCGACGCGCAAGGCAAAAAAAAAACACCACAGGCAAAAAAACATGTCACGATTCCTTCTTTGGGCCCCAGGAGCGCCACAGGCAAAAACCCAGGTCACGATTCCTTCTTTGGGCTCCAGGAGCGCCACCGACGCGGATGGGGAGCAGGGGAGCAGGGGAGCACCTCCCCGCCCCGCGCGCGCTCTCTGGCAGGGTCCGAGGGCCCGACGCGCAAGGCAAAAAAAAGGCGCCACAGGCAAAAAAACAGGTCACGATTCCTTCTTTGGGCCCCAGGAGCGCCACAGGCAAAAACCCAGGTCACGATTCCTTCTTTGGGCCCCAGGAGCGCCACCGACGCGGAGGGGAGCAGGGGAGCAGGGGAGCACCTCCCCGCCTCGCGCGCGCAGTCCGGCAGGGTCCGGGGGCCCGGCGCGCAAGGCAAAAAAAAAGCGCCACAGGCAAAAAAACAGGTCACGATTCCTTCTTTGGGCCCCAGGAGCGCCACAGGCAAAAACCCAGGTCACGATTCCTCCTTTGGGCCCCAGGAGCGCCACCGACGCGGAGGGGAGCAGGGGAGCAGGGGAGCACCCCCCTGCTCCGCGCGCGCTCTCCGGGCTGAGGAGGAGGAGGAGGAGGAGGAGGAGAAGGAGGAAGAGGAGGAGGAGGCTGAGAAGGAGGAGGAGGAGGGGGAGGAGGAGGAAGAGGAGGTGATGAGGCGGAGGCGGAGGAGGAGGCAGGAGACGGAAGGAGGAGGAGAAGGAGGAGGAGGAGGAGGATGGGGAGGAAGAGGAGAGGAGGAGGAGGAGGAGGAGGAAGAGGAGGAGGACAGGAGGGGAGGAAGAGGAAGAGAGGAGGAAAAAACAGGAGGAAAAGAAGAGAAGGAGGAGGAGGAGGAGGAAGACGAGGAGGAGGAGGAGGAGGAGGAGGAGATGGAGGAGGGCGGGGACGTGGAGGACGAGAGGGAGGAGAAGGAGGAAGAGGAGGAGGAGGAGGAGGCGGAGAGGGAGGGGGAGGAGGGAGGAGGAACAATAAGAGGAGGAGGAGGAGGAGGAGGAGGAGGAGGAGGAGGAGGAGGAGGGGGGGGAAGAGGAGGAGGAGGAGGAGGAGGAGGAGGAGGAGGGGGGGGAAGAGGAGGAGGAGGAGGAGGAGGAGGAGGAGGAGGAGGAGG